ATGACGCTCAGGCAGTGTGTCGGGTGTATCGTTATGGCCAGAAAAAGCCCTGTCACATCTACCGCCTTGTGGCTGATTTCACCCTCGAAAAGAAGATCTATGACCGTCAGATTTCCAAGCAGGGCATGTCAGGTGGGCCATCTTTCAGGCTCGGAAGAGGCACATTTATACAGGCTGCCATCCTTCTGTGTCAAGCGGGGAGCGGAAGGGCAGGATATGGGGACACAGATAGGCTTTCAGTCATAGAAAGCCAGCCGTTCCTCCCATCTCGTTCTGGTTCAAATTATTGCTTCAGAGGGATTTGACCTCAGCTTGTTGAAGGTGGGTTTGATGATGAGAGCTGAGCTAGTTATGCAGGTTTCTCTTAAATTTCCATTTCACCAGGACCTCAAGCATGGTCTTTGACTTTCAGATGTGGAATGGCCTAACGTGGTTTAGATATTAGTGACAATAATGCTACCTACAACCTCTCTTTTCCCTGCTGATCTTTGTAGCTGTGCCTTTGCAGTCTTCCTTGCCACGTGCCGATTTTCTCCACGTCTTCTTCTTCTAGATCGGGTGGTAGATGATCTCAATCCAATGCTGAATTTTACCCGGAAGGAGGTTGAGAACCTACTGCACTTTGTTGAGAAGGAGCCAGCCCCCCAAGCATCCTTGAACGTAAAGGGGATCAAGGAGCCAGTCTTACAACTTGCCTGTCTGAAGTACCCTCACCTCATCACCAAGGTAAGAACCTGGTATGCATGTAATGCCGAGTGTGTCCGTTTCCAGCAAGGGAGCCTTGTCTGGCAAGCTTGTTTTCATCATCCGAACTTTTGTTTCATGCAGGCAACACGAATTCAAGTGGTTCTTCTTCCCCGCATGCAGTGCCCATCCCCATCCCTAGTCTGGTCCTACCAGTGCTAAGGTCAGCCATGTGGAATAATTTGGCCAGTGTTTTTTCCTAGCAAGAAGAAGGATGGCAAGTTCTAAAAATGTAGTCTGTTACTTCTCTGAACTCTCCCATCCTTTTGATGTGGAAGGCAGCCTTAGATTGTCTAAAGCCAACGCTGGGTTAGAGTTGTGAGTTACACTCTTGAGAAAAAGACCGTCAACCTGCCTGTGGATCTGCTCTTTGCTATTGCTGGAGACAGCCAGCCCTGTCTCAGTTTCAAAATAAGGCTCACTGTGTATCAGCCATGTTAGCACAAAGACTGGTAATTAAATCAACATCCTCCTGTGTCCCCAGGAGCCTTTTGAGCATGAGTCATTGCTCCTTAACCGAAAGGATCACAAGCTGACCAAGGCGGAGAAAAAAGCAGCGAAGAAAAGCTATGAGGAAGACAAACGCACATCAGTCCCCTACACCCGCCCGTCATATGCGCAGTATTATCCCGCCAGCGACCAGAGCCTGACCAGCATCCCCGCCTTCAGTCAGAGAAACTGGTGAGTCGCCGAAAGGCGGGGAAGCTGTGCTGCTGTGCCAGGCCCGGACCTTTCCACTGGTTTGTGTTTGAAGCAGAGGGAGAGACCACAACTTGCTCTTTGTGGCTGAGAACTGACAGGTGCTGCTCCTGAATGAGGTGCCGAAGCCATTCAGCGGCCCTGGCGTTTAAATGGCTCTGGCTGAGGACTGAGCTCCTGGCCTTGTGAATCAGGAGAGGCCTTTTAGATTCCCGGGAAGTGCAGCTTCCTAAAACAGAGAGGCCCAGCTCTCCTGCACAGCTGCCTCATATCCATAGCATCTTTTTCTTAGACCTTGCTTAGCAATGAGGTTCAAGGATGAAGGCCAGGTCTCCGTGAGTCTTGGATTGTGGTCAGTGGATTCTTCTGCTCCTACTAGGATTGCATTCCGTGGCTGTGCTACGATCCTGAAGGAAAAATATTTTTCTTGACTACAACTTCTAGAACTGTTCAGAATATGAACAGGATAAAAGCCAGTTGCTAAGGGAGAGAGGGCTTTTTATAAGAAATTATGGAACAATTATCTATAGTCTTTTTTTTTTTTTTTCCCCATTTTAAAGCAAGGTGCCTCAGAGCCCGCACCACAATTAGCTGCTTGATTGGTGGTTTGCATTTTTAAATTGTTTGATTATCTCGAATTAAAGATAATTATTTTATTTGAGTGGGATAGATTTAAAACTTTTTCTTAAGAAGAGTCCATGTAAAAAAAAAAAAACTTGCCAAATGAGGTTCTAAAGGAATTAAATAAAACCATGTAAGATTTTATATAAGACTCTAATTTTTGATGAGTAAATTTGCTAATTTTAATGTACAAGATGCGTTCGAGTAGAAAGTCACACTTTCAAAGCCTTTACACTTTATTTCTGTCATTTTCCAAGATGCTATTGCCTGGGAGTGTTCTCCTCTCTTGTCTTCCACCCGTTGTTCTCTTTTCTGGGCTTTTCCATGTAACAGCAGAAATGGACTAAGCCTAAACCCAGTGGGAGAAAGCCATGTGGTGTCCAGGGAAGGGGGTGTGTGACAGACGGTCTGGGCCGTGAAGAGATGTTAGCTCCTTTTCTGGCCCAGCTCCAGCCCTGTGGGAGGCGGCAGACTCTCAGAGCATTTAATGA